TCTTAACAGATATTTGAGAATTCAAATTCTATTTACATTTAGCTGAAGAATTGAAGTTTGAAGATCTAGACAGTTGAGAGTTTCTTCTTTTTAAGCTTATAGTTATAGATTTACTGACTTGACTTTTCTCTTGTATTTTAGATTTACTTTGAGCTTCATCTTGTCTTCAGTTCTTCTGAGTTCTTGAAGTAAATACACATTCTTTTGAGCTAGATGCATGTTTTTCTTTACAGTTGAAGCACTTAAGCAGAGTATATTAACATATTTCATCTCTTTTTAAGCATGTTTCACATTTATACTCACTAGTTTTGTGATCACTAGCACAGAATGTGTATTTTCAGTCTCTGAAATATAAGATTGCAAAGTATTCATATCTTTGACAGTTTGAACACTGTGTTTGAGCTTTGAGATTCATTCTTAAGTCTTTGTATTCATGAACTCTCATTTTCAAACCTGCTACTCTTACTTCAGAGATTCTTGATTATTCAAGTGTCTTTGTATACACTAGAACAGAGACATTTCTTCTACTCTATATGAACTCAATTGAATTAAGTCACACAGACTCTTTTCTCAGTTGAATAGAATTGTATTCTTCTAATTTATTTTTGAGAAGTAGCATTTCTTTCTCACAGTCAAAAACTTCAACTGAAATATTATAAGAATGAATTTATCTCACTTTTTATCTCTCTCAGATAGAATTATTATATTCAGTAGAGATTCTATTACTGATTTTCAGAGATTCTTATTCTGAATGAGGAATTCTGAATTAAATTCAGACATTATATTCAAAATAATAGAATTTTCAAAGAAAGATGACTCAATTGAAGCTACAACTGGTTTTTGAACTTCAATATTAGTTATTAACTGAGAAAAGAACTGCTGACTAATTTCATTTCTAATTCTGAAAATGAGATTTGAGTTTAGCTTGTTTTTTTACAAGATCTTCTGATTAGAGACTTTGAGAATAAGTCTTCTATTTCTGAAGATTTGAAAGTTTTTCTCTTTTTATATTTCTTTTTTTTTCTTTCTATGAACCGATATCTGAGTAATATTCTTCTCAGTTTTCTCAGAATTTTGAGAAGATTTTGAACTAGCAGGTTTAGAGACAGCAGATTCTGCTACTTGAGAATATATTTTCTTCTGATTTGAAGAAGAAGATGAAGAAGTAGAAGATGAAAAAGAGTCAGTGACTGTACTAGAAGATTTCAATGTTTTTTGAATTATATTTGAAATTTCAAGTTTGAACTTGATCACTTCTTATAGTTGTCTAGTCTGAGTATGAAGAATTAACAGAACTTCTTCATTCTTCTTACTCAGACACTGTTTTTCAAGAATTTCACTTACTTTTTTCAGTTCCTGAATTTCAAGAACTTGTTGTTTCTCTATTTCTTCCTTCTTTCTTCTCTTTAGACTTTCAATCTCAGGAACAGCATCTGAAAAAACATTTTTTTTCACATTAACTGAGTGTACTCTTGAACTCATTTTACTCACTGAATGAAAAGTTGATCACACTGTTTCAATTAAGAGATTTATTAAACTATTTTCAAATGAAAAGTTGATCAGACTGTTTCAATTGAGAGATTTATTAATCTATTTTTAAATGAAAAGTTGATCAGACTGTTTCAGTTAAGAGATTTATTAGTCTATTTTTAATTGAAAAGTTGATCAGACTGTTTCAAAAGAAGCATGAAAGACTTTTATATATAAAATATCTGATTTTTTTTTCACACAAGTTCAGTAACTAGATTAGATTTTTAAAGAGAATCTAATAAACTAAAATTAATTTTTAAGATAAATTAATAAAATCTTTATAAACTCTTTCTTGAAATACAGTGAGAAAAAGTATGATATCAATTGATAATAAATTAGATAATATGACAGTTTTTGAGAGAAAAACTGATAAAAAATAAGTTCATTTTTTATAGAGAAATTGATTAAAACTAATATATTTTATTCTAAATCATTCAATTCTTCTCATACAACAAGTGTACAACTCAAATCAGTTAATAAAGAGTGTAAAAGAGAGTTAAGTATTAATAAAAGCTCTTCAGTCACTGAAAAAGTAATTCTTACTTAAAAGAATATAAAATTATAACAGAAAATAACTCTGTTTTTAATTCTTTGTAAGAATATTGTATAAAACTCAGAGAAAAATATCTTACTTTTTCAAGAGAAATAAAAAACTCTTTCTAAGATCTTTTTTTTACATTAACTACTGCAGAAGAATGAGATAGACACTGCTAAAATATACACTACTATATATTCTCTATCAAGACTTTTCCTTTTCAGAGTCTTGATATTATAGAGAATATAAGTCTGTTTCTATATAATAATATAAATATTGTCAGCAGAATGTAGAGAAACTGGTTATTTATATCTCAAAATAGAAGACTTTGTCAATGATTATATCAATATAGAGTTAATTCTTAAATTCAATAGAAATCTAGTATTGCTGTTCTCAATTTCTTACAGAATCTATTGAATATTCAGATATTAAAACTAGATTTAATATATCTCACTGTGCAGAGATCAAAGACTCAGTCAGATCTTAGAATATACTGAATTTATAGTTATTGACATGCTGTTAACTTGTTCTGTTAACTCATTGTCTGCTGATTATGTATCAAGTACTGTTGTCAAGGTATCTTTTTGTATTATTCTGCTGAGAATGGGCCAGATTGAGAGAGGTGATACAAGAGTGAGACTTGGCATTGATGTCTAGATACACTGAAGACAGACAGAGTATTTATAAAGATTGCACTTCAGAAGTGTCTGTTGATTATATACTTGATATTATTGCTGAGGTATCTTTTTGTATTTTTCTGCTGAGGATGGGCCAGATTGAGAAGAGCGGTACAAGGGCGAGACTTGGCATTGATGTTTTGAAACATCAAAGATGGACAGGGTTTTTATGAATGTTACTTCTCAGATATCTCCTCAATTACAGATCAGAGATCTTCCAAAATCAAGAAGATTGATGCATATGACTAGGTCTCTTCACCTTACAATTTGTATGGCAATTTGGCCCAGGGTTGTGGTGTGATAGGGGAGAACAGGGGATAATCCCACACAGGAGTTTCAAACAACATCTGGTTCATGTTTGGCTGGAAAACTCCACCACCACACGGGGTATGCAGTTGACGATGGTGTCAAAATGCTCATATGATTGAGGGCTTTTCAATGGATCTATCGGCGGGTTCTTATTTAAAAAATCGAGTGAGTTCGTGGTGAAGCGGTTGTTTTTTTGATGAGAAGAAGTCAACAAATCTCTGAGTGTTTCTTTTCTCTTTAAAGAATTTATCTTATCTCTCATCTTTCATCTCTGTCAGCTGTTTTTTTTTTTTTTTTTTTTTTTTTTTTTTTCAAAAATCATATCATTTATCTCTATTAATTCATCAGAAGTTCAAAAAATTATGAAGACTGTTATTATAACTGAAAACAATATCTTGAAATATATTCATTGTAAATAAGATTCTTTAAAATGATGAAAATTACAATTCTGATACTTAGTATAGTTCTTAACAATCTTATTCAGTCTTCTGAGCTGTTAACTGCTAATCTTATTCTCAGTTCTGTATCTGTGTCTGCATCTATCTCTGTCTCTACTATGTCTGCTGATTCTAGATCATCAAGTTAACTGTTAACTTGTTTAACTAAAAAAAGGTCTGAAAAGCTGTTAAAGAAGTTACAGACTCTTATTAAATTACTCTATACTTAGAAGTCAGTCTTGCAGAAGAGTTATCAGATTAATATAAAAATCAGTATAAATTATAAAGCTCTTCTTTCATAATTCTGTGATGCTGTTTTTGCAGTTCTCTGTAACTACTATATCAGAGAAGAAGACTCTTTTACTATCTATATTAGTGCTCTGAATCAGTGCTATAAAGCTTGTATCAGTTATTATTATAATGATACTGAAAGTTACTGCTCTTATTATAAAAGTAAGTCACTTTTTAATATAAAATATGTTAATTTCAATACAATTAACTAATAGTTATATATAGTTAATATCAGTAAGAAGAATAATAAAGTGAAAGAAAAGAAATAGAAGAATAAAAAGAGAAAGAAAGTCAAGAAGAAGAGCTTATTCAAGAAGTACTCTATGACTGAGAATACAGAAGCTAAAGTCTTAAAAAAACAGATAGCAAGTGTTAAATCAGTTGACAGTTATGATATTGAGATTTTAACTCTTTGTATTGAAAATGAGACTCTGTACAAGAAGAATACTGCTCTGAAGATTAAATTCAGAACCATTACAAGCCTTCTTCAGGTCATTCAAACTGTTCTTAAGAATGACATATAAGTCAGTGAGACAGAGTGAAGTATTTTTCATTTTTTTTCTTACTTAGTTAGATAATGCTTTTACACTGAAAAATGAATCTCTATATGTTTTTACAGTTCTATCTCTTCTATTATTATTAATAATAAGCTGTAAAATCAATCTTGTGAGATCTTCTGTTTTGAGCTTAGCTCCACAATGTCTTTGCACACAGAGGCTCGTGTGCATTAAGATATTTTAGATAGTGCACGGATAATATAACAAGCAGATCTTGATACACATAAGATTCATATGTCTCCAACATATTCATCCGTGACACCCATTCCGACATTATGGTAGTAATCACTAACACTCTAAGCCCTAGCAGCCTTACATTCCGCTCATGTTCTTCTAGGACGGGTCTCCTGGAGCCGTTCTGGAGCACTCCTCGTTGCTCCTAGGTCTGCCCTTGCTGCCCAATCTTTAGGCTGTGTTGTAGGGCAGCAGTGCGTTGTGCAGGCGCCTCAAAAGCTCCCAACAATCTGTCCAGACGACTTTGTTCTGATAGGCTGGTCAGTTGCGGTGTTAATTATGTCTGAGCGTTGAGGCCTCTCGCTCGCTCCAAGAAGCATAAATATCTGGATATCCCTAGGTTTTAAGCTCCTTCTTCTTTCCAGAAAAGCTTGTCTTTGATCAAGGCTTATCCATTCTTGGAGTCTTGTTTTATCGTGACATATATACCATGGACGACGAGATTGGCAATTTTGTTGTCATTTTTCGACCCCCTGGTGATGCGCCAATGTACAAGGTCGAGGTCAACACTTCCCAGTATACCTTTGTCGCGGCCGCGGCCGCCCTCGCTACCAAAGTGCTACAAACCCCTCAAGCGATAAACGCAATGATCGAACTTGCCTTGGAGCTTGCCGAGACTGTGGCGATGAGGAAGTCCATTCAAGACAACCCAGCACTGGCTAGACAAGCGGTCCAGCTGTTCGTCGACAAGATCAGTGCCAAATTCCCCGGCATCGTCATTGACTCATCCATCAACACTGTCCAGATGCTGGGTTTCCATCTTGGGATAGTGTGGCACGGTGGACTGGAAGACTTTGACCCTCGTAAGCACATGATCCACATCAATGCGCAGGTGAGTATGCCACCTTCTCCTTTCACCTCGTTCTGTCCTAGGCAGGACTGACGGTATCTATGCGTTAAGAGGCTGGAGGACTTGATGGACGTAGCAGACGCGGGAACCCCGATGGCCGACAAATACTTCCAGACATTCATCTTTCAGCTTGCAAACACCTTTGTTCATGAAGTTGGTGGCCACCTCCTCGTGACATTTCTCAGTGACCTCATTGTGGATGAAAATGGCCAAGTGGCGCGCCCATTTACTCCTCCTTCAGTTAGCTACAGTAACTATGCTCTGTGTGACAACTGTATGGCAGGCGAATCGGGACGTGCTCTTGAAGACATTCTATTTGGCGGGTCGCTTGAGTACTATCATGACCCTAGTGGTGGTCCCCGGCAGGTATGTATTCAACATCATATATGCATCATTCGCTACTTCCACTTTGGAGCATGATTCGCATATCTAATTGCTTTGATTAGCCCGGAATTCCCTATCTCCTGGATGAGGATAATCTTGTGAGATGCATCCCTGAAGCTTTCATTAGCAATTTTCTTGCAAATCGTAAGACAGCATTAATGCCACCCACTCTGATAAGAGCCACCGTACATTAAAAATTTACGTATGCTAACACCACTCTCTGGAAGAATTCCAATTTCCATATCCTGTAGAAGGGCCAGCGTTTGTTCCAAGGACCATGATTCCGCTGGGCAACACCACTACACCTATCCAGTTTCCCCACCCCAGCGCCCGCCCGCAGCTCGCTCTACAAGACCTGCCCAACATGGCCGGAGACCGTGTTCTGCTCAGGCGGTTGCGCCAAGTTCTCACTGATAGGAAACGTCGCGCTATTGCTATTTGAACCCGACCCTTTGGAGCATGTTTGTGTCAAACGGTGCAAGATTGATGGCACCTAGAAACCGCCAGACCATTTTGTTGTCTCTTTTTATCTCTTTCCACTCTGTTGCATAAGCACGTGGTCTCGTCATTTACTTAAAAGGACTACATGAACGAAGAGGAGAGGCAGCGGACGCAGTTCTTATCAAGAACACTAGCACCGCACCCAAAAGTCCACTTCCAAGGTAGGCAAGAATTATCTGGATGGCAACGGGGTTTTTGATAACAAATAGTAATAGCTAGAAGAACTTAAATTATATCCTCTTTATCATTCCACGCCGCTGGAAGTGGAGTAACAATGCTTTCATCACAAATAGGAGGCTAACGGAATGGCCCGGAGTCCAATTGCCATGCTACATCTTCCCTCCTAGTGCACTCCCTGCGCAGGTTGAGAGAAAGGTCCTGTTAGGACCTCTCTTTTTTACCAATGAGAGACATGGTTGGCAAAACAACGAGGCTTTAATGGAAGGAGACGCCCCACGCCTTGCACCGGCTCTAGCCGGGATTCAAGCCTCGGTGGATAGCAGCGCCAGGGTATTCTGGTCATACAATTCACGATGTGGGGGATCGATTTCCCATTTCAAATCAAATTGAGGTGGCTTTCCATGCCTCCTTAGCATCAGCATTTCGGTAGCCAGCTCGACGGATGATGCAACAACAGTATCGGATGAGTTTTCCGGGCACGCAGCACTCATCAACGTCCTTCCTCAACTTGTCCTGCCTGTGGGTGGACAAGCAGGGAATGAACAGGGGACTGTATTCAGTCGTGTGATGCGCTTGGCTTTACTTTTTGTGAGCTGGTGGCTGCCCGAATATTGCATCTGTACACAACTTCCTATCGCCACGGATCTTCCTTTTGATCTTATATTGCTTCTGAAGCAGGGCGAGATGAATATGGTGAGAAACGTACGAATATCCTTTCCAAGATCCGATCGTCCTTAAGATGCGAGAGCTTCGTATTTGTCCAAAAAAAGGATAGATTTTTAAGAACAGCACAAGATGGATAAGAAGCTGGAGATTAGGAGAGGGGTTTTGGAATTTGTATGCAGGCCAACATCCGCATATCTGCAGGCTTACGGAACGGCCCGGAATTCCACACAGTGGCTGACAGTCCCCCAATCACGGACTTGACCTCTCAGTCAAAATTGATTTGCGCGTTCCCATCCTCGGTCATAAGGACGCAGTGGCCCTTCTCATCCATGTTCGCAATGCTAGGAAGCGGGAACCTGGCTGGAAAGTTGCGTTCTAGATGGAGGTCAGCTTCCATGAGACAGTCCACATTTTAAAAAGGGGGTGGGTGTTGGGATTCAGCCATCTTGTTCAGTTTGGTCTCAACTTGCTAAACTGTTAGTATGCGAGGTCTAATACCAGGGGGAAAGCTATAGAGGTGGTTGGCAGTAACTAGTATTGCATTGGTGGTTAATCTAATCCTTGAGGAAGGGAAAGGAGGAGATTGTTGGCCACAGTGTGACAATATTGCTATTTACAGGATGGATGCGGAGCATCATGTGATCACTGGTCACAGGGTCCTTTCACCCTGCCCCTCCCCCATCCATCCCTCCCCCCTTTTGTATGTATAGTGGCATTGTAGCCTGCCCTATGGTTGCCAGCGGCATTGTGCCTGCCCCAGTGTGTATTGCTAGCAGGAGCACCTGCCTCAACCCGCGGTTGGCAGTAGCCCTGCCCTAGGATGTATTGTAAAGTGGTTTGTATGTATATATAAATTATCAATGTGTTTTTAAGAGATGTAAAGCATTGTCATTGTTTGTTTTTAGGATTTTGTTTTTTTTTTTTTTTTTTTTTTTCAGTTGAAAGAGATCAGTATTATTATTATTATTATTATTATTATTCTTCCATTATACTCACATGCAAGCGGAGCTTATGATGAGTCCTTGCGTGATGTTAAATACAGGTCAAGTGTTGGTTATACAGGAGGAAATACAGGTGTTGAGACCATGCCAAGATAACAAGAACATAGGAAAATACAAAGGAGTGACAATTAGATACATGTGATAATAACTTCCCAGCCCAGGAACATAGAGCGATTCATTGGAGCGATTTGTACACCTCTGTATTTATTAGAAACCTGAGGTGCTTGAGTTCTGGATTTAGTGTATCCCCTGCGGGTTTCGAACCCACGCGCCTTGGTTTCCCACGCCAAGGTGCTACCGGGTGGCCGCATTAACCATTCAGCCACCGGGGCGAAAGAGATCAGTTGATGTGACTGGTTTTAATCAGTGTATTCTCATGCTTGCTATACTGTGATATGAAATAAGAATAATATTTCTGATTGTGAGTTTATTGTATCTGAAATTGATGATTGTTCTAGATCTTAATCTGCTAGTTTGAGTTGTATTGAGTAGTGATGATGATATTAATATATGAATGAATTCATATTTACAAGTTGAGTTGAGTCTACTCATTCATTAAATTCTGATTCTTTGTATTATTATTGTATTCTGTATTTGAGTCTGTCTCTGATTATTTAAGAGTTCATTATTTTCTCTATGTCTCAGTTATCTTTCTCTGAGTATGTGGCTGTTTATGAAATGTTCTGTGATATACACAGTTTGAGAAGAGAGATATGAAATACATTATGAATCTGATAGTTTGATAGAAGATTTAGCTGATATACTTGTGATCTGATTTATACTTCTATATGAAAGAGATTCAGAAATTTATAATTCATCTTTTTATTTAATCTGCATGTGAAGAGATTCTTCATGTTTAGATAGACTTTATCTTCAACTTGAAACTCTTGTGAGTTGTCTTTAGCATACTTCTTCATAAGGTCTTGTATATATAGTAGTTTCTCTTGTACTATCTACTGTGTCTTCTATGCTAGAACTGCTGTATGTTCTGCTTGAGATTCATCTATTGCTTCTGTTGATATGTCAGAGATAATGAGAGATAGTGATTGATATCTCAGATTCATAAGAAATGAGAATATTCTCAGTATGAAATGAGTTGAGTTGCTGTACACAAATTCTGCTCATAACAGTAGATCTGTTCAGTCATTCTGTAGATAGTCAGTGTATAATCATAGATAGACTTTCAATTCTCTGTTTTATCTCTCTATCTATTCATCTATTTAAGAATGATAGACAGTTGATAGTCATTGATTAATATGCATGCTTTTTATTAAAGCTTCTCAGAAGTCAGAGATAAAGAGATAATCTCAGTCAGAAATGATTACTACTGATATATCATATAATCTGATAATATTCACTATAAAGATGTGTGTGAATGTTTGTGAGATAAGATCTGTAATAGTGAGGATATAATATAGTCTCTTCAATTATTTGCAGCAGAATACAGCTATTATATTCATAATTTAATATATTACTGAGTAGATGAACTTCAGCAAGTTTATGATAAAGTCTACTGTGATAATATATCAATTTTTGTGAGATATAGAAATAGATGTCATTTCATCATATATTCTGTGAGTGATTGATTTGACTTTGTGACATACTTGATATATTCTTATATAAGCTTCAACATTCTTTCTTATTATCAGTCAGTAGAATCATCTTACTATAGATTGATATGTATATTTCATATCAAACTATTCTGCAGTGAGTGAGTTATGAAATTCATGAAGAATTTGATTTCTACTCATTATACTGTCAGAGATGTATATTCTATCTTAATAGAATAGAAGATTATTCTGTATTACTCAGTTTTCAAGGTGATTTCTATCATTATCTGATATAAGAGTCTTCAAATCAGATAGTAGTGTCTGTTTAATTTGATAAATTAGGTCTGAGTTTACTTCTACTGCATTCACTGAGATTATATATACTATATTTATAAATGCTATTCAGTGATTGTGTAGTATTTCAGAGGCTTGTTCATAGTAGATTATAAGTTGTATAAAGTGATGAAAATCATTCTGAAGTTCTGTTAATTCTTTGAGACTTGATTTATAGTTCAGTCATCTGAACAGATCATCTGTAGAGTTTTTTAAGTCTTGTTTATACAGAATCTTTATATTCAGCTCACTCAGATATTATACTCATCAGACTTGTCTATATATTAGAATTTTTATAATAAGAAATGAGAGAAGATTATGATAGTCACTATAGACTATGATTTGAATTCTGTTACTTCAAATGAAGTGATGTCAGTGCTTTGTTAATTCTACAATTACTAGTATCTCTGTATTATAAGTGCTGTAATTTCTCTCTATTATGAACATCTTTCTGCTGAAGAATGCTACTGAGTGAAGATGTCTGTCATCCTGCTTTTAAGAGAGTATTTCACTTATAGTGAAGTCACTTATATCACAGAAGATAATAATTGATCTATTATTATTATAGAATATCAGTAATAATATCTCTGTGAACACTTGCTTAAGCTGTTTCATATTGACTTTATATTTATCTGTTCATTGAAATATTGTGTTGTTCTTCAGCAGTACTGTGAGAGTGAGACAGATGCAGTTATACTAATAAATGAATCATCTATAGAAGTTACACAATTTAAGAAATACTCATAGATCTCTGATTATTCTTGAGAATGATCATTATACTATAGTATCTACTCTGACTGAGTTCATTTTTATATCATCTCTTTCTACTAGATAGCCCAGGAAGTCAATTTTAGTTTGTAAGAATCAGTACTTGAATATATTGTATATCAAGTCTGCATCTCTAAGTTTCTGTAGAATCTGTTATACTTAGATTCAGTGTTTATCTTGATTATTCTTCTTTGTGTAAATTACTACTTCATCAATATAGATAATAACAAAGTTATTAATATATTTCTGTAGAACTGTGTTTATGAACTGTTAAAAGTGAGCTGAGGCATTTGTGTGATCAAAGAGAACTACTAGACATTTATATATTCTATATCTTGTTTTAAAAGCTGTCAGATGTTTGTGTCTCTCAGTGATTCTGATGAGATGATATACATGCTGAAGATCTAATTTTATTATTCATTTTACTACTCTCAACTGCTCTA